ACACCCAGATTAGAAAGAATTCTAACCACAGGCAATAACACAGGTGAGACTAGGAAGCACAATGTACTGAGAGAAATTTCCAGGCCTTTGGGGTGTTGTTCTCTGTGTGCTCCATGTATCCCCCATCAGTCTCCCTCAAATAAAAGTACCTCCTAATCTGAGGACCCAACTCTTCACAGGACGAAGGGAATGGACTCCCCATACTTATGGGGATGGGCTTTTAGGACAACTGAGAAGTCTTCCTACTGAGCTTGGCAGGCTACAAAGAAAAGTTTCAGGTACCAGAAGATTGAATTTACTGTTTGCGGATGCAAAGGAAAGGCATCAAATGGGTGAAGATGACAAGGTTTTGGTGTGTTGGTAAAAGGATAAGGCATGGGAATAAAAAAAGGGTGAGGGGACAGGATATTCACTACCAGCAGTCCCCACTGCTTGAACCTGGTGTCAACTATGATTGGGTTGGGTTAAAAAATTGAGGAAGGGCATGAAGTTTCCTAGTCAATCAAATTTTATTTATCCTACTTGGAATCAAATTGTAAGGAATAATATCAGCCTCTTGACCCATGATGGCAAACCTATGGCACGTGGGCCACAGGTGGCACGCAGAGCCCTTTCTGTGGGCATGTGAACTGTCGCTCCAGCTCAGCTCCACCGCGCATGCACGCATGTCTCCTGCCGACCAACTGATTTTTGGGTCTCTGCCGCGCATGCACTTTGGGTCGCAGGAGGCTGCAGGGAGGCCTACTAGGCCCAAAATGGGGCATAGCGGTGTGTGTCACATGTGCTTGCATGTGTGTGTGTGTGTGAGGGAGCATGGGGTGTGTGTGTCATGTGCTAATGCACAGGGGGTGGTCACAAACACATTGCATTATGGGTGTGTGCATGCGCTTTTGGCACGCAACGACTAAAAGGTTAGCCATCACTGCTCTAGACAATTGGGGTTGAAAGGGAAATAATCACAATATTTTAATATGCAAAGAGGCAATGACTATAATAGAGTGCCAGGACATGAAGAGCCAGGTTAAAATCCATAAACTGCATGCTTGATGTCTCCAGAGTTACTTAAGGCTAATTAATTTCTTCCCCAATACATATATTTTGAAGTGTTAATGAATATGCAAAGCTGGAGAAATGAGATAAGAGGGAAAAAATCATGTCTCCTTCATTTCTTGGAAAAGGAATGGAATAAATTTAACAACAACAACAAAAAATCAAGCCATTGCAATGTTTAAACTATGCACACCCTGGTTTGAATTAGGAGCTAAGACCATACAAACAGCCATGTTTATGGCTCGGAATTCTCAATGGTTTACTGTAAAGTAGAGAAAGTAGATTTTAATGGATTGAAGACCTAAAACTGTGCATTTAAGCAAAATTATAGCTGTTGGTTGGGTTGGGTGAATTAGGAGACTGATGAGTAAAGTTATGGAATGCTTTTAGAAAGCAGCAAAGATTTGTAGTGATAACAATGGGCATTTTATCTAGACTAGAGAGCTTAACTATGATTACAACTGTATACAAATGACTGTAGAATTCATGTGACCAAACATAGAAAGACAATGAGAGATAACTCATATCTTCTTCTGACTGGTTCCTAAGAGAGCTACTAAAGAGGACGCACACACACGCACACCCCTTCTCAAAGGGCTAGGAGAGGAAAGGAATGGTAGCGTCATCCGCAAGTTGAGAAAAATGTCTTTAAAAACACAGCAAAGTAGAACCTAAGCCAACAGCCTCACCCTCTCCTCCCCAATACTCTACAATTCCTGAAAATCATTCCTAGGACTTGTCCTAATCAATAACGCTAAAACAATAGCAAAAGGAATGAAAAGAATGAAAAAGAAGAGAGAAAAGATTCCAACTGAATCATAAGAAGCTTAACATATCAGAAGATCAAATGCTTGTAAGAAAGCTAGAAATAAGACTGCCAGCGGATCATCTTAGGAAATAGTCAAGGCAGGTCTTCACAAGACGGTGGTGGGATCACCATTGCCCAGAATACGACCAAGGAGGCTCCTTCCATGTTGCTGTTATTTTCTCACTGAAGTGGTAACTATTTATCTATTTGCGATTGTAGGCTTTTGAACTGCTGGGTCGGCAGGAGCTGGGACAAATGGGTGGAGTCTTCTGGTTCAGCATCCCCACCACATGAGCCACCATGGTGATCAAAACTGTAGATGTCCATGGAGATTCTCAGTCAACCAGGTCCTGGTTGTCCCAAAGGTGCTTTTTTCAAGAAGCAACTGGACCTTCCCGTTTTTCTTTGAACAATGCAGTGAGCCATTTGCAGATCTGTACATTGGGGAAACGAAGTAAACACTTCACAAACGCATGGAACAACATAGGAGAACAAACACATCAGGGCTAGATTCAGCAGTCCATCTGCATTTAAAAGACACAGGCCACTCTTTTGAAGACAACTAAGTCCATATTTTGGACAGAGAGGACCACTGGTGTGAAAGAGGGGTCAAAGAGGCCATCTATGTCAAAATAGCCCTCTCTCAACAGAAGGGGAGGGATACGACATCATCTCTCTCCAGTCCACAACACAGTCCTTTCAGCAGTTCCAAGAAGGCTCCACACCCATTTGCACCCGTCAGGTGGCTGATGACACAGATT